GATGCATCACTGCGCCGTTCTCTCCAATCAAAAAAGAAATACCCGCTGACTATTGTCCCAAGCCGTGTTCTCTCTCCTCGTTTCTATTGGGGGTTTGTGAGGGTCATTCGTGTCAATCGTTCGTCTACAAACAGAACACAGATTGAATCTCATCAGCAACCATAGACCCAACCAGGAATCGAACTCGAGACGTCACAGGTTGAAATTGCAGACATACCGTCCATTTGACCACGGTGCAGCTGATCAGACAGTTCTTTTTTATTACACGATGAAGCAAAACCCATCTTTGTAAGCTCAACATGCGCAGACATGACTGATGAGGCCTAACCAGATTGAAACACGAGCCCAATACTTCCCACTTTTTCACTTCACGCTTCATTTTCAAAGCAAATCCTCCGCTACCATCAAAGAAAATGCGGAAATGCCAACTGTCCATTTCAACCGTGATCAACCCCTGGCGTACGCCATCATGCATCACAATACTTATGAGTGTCTAAGCACTTTATGTTACGGTATTATACTGTTTAACTTTTGCAAAAACGGAACCTTTTATTCCAGTTAAAAGAATCGATACATCCCAGCCATCACGTGAAACATATTCAACGGTGAAAAAGATGCTACAGGCATCATAAGGATATTTCTTAGTCCAAGTTTACAACGAAGTTCACTTGTTACCCTCTTTTTGTTGGTGAGTAAACATGCAAGATAGGGAGGGTGTAGGTGAATGAGATGGTATGAGAATTTAGAATTCAGAGCTTGTATAAAGGTGGGAACCACAACGTTTCAGTTCTACATGCAATCGGTGGTTGCTGGGTTTTGTGAGCTGAGTCTTCCTTTCCGCAGGACGTTGACCGATAGTCTGTAAGTTTCACAATTCATTCTTTCATAGAAGTAGGAAAAATTCTGAACTATCTCAGTCACAAGAGAAGCTGTTCCGGCGTCAATTTTTCTAAAAAGTGGTACACATGATATTTTTTATTGATTCATGATCGAGATTTTTCGGAATTCATCGAACCGAATTAAAACAAACCGAACCAATAAATCAGGTCTTCATCCGGAACAGGGGGTCAACTCACTTTTAGTGTCCTCAAGAAATTCGTTCTGGTGATATAGGGCGTTTTCGGATCTCGTTGTTGATACAGTTTTCAATCTAGGTGGTCTGTTCGGATACCAACAACCACAACCACAACCACAACCACAATAAAACAAGTGTGTTGAGTCCAACTATTCAGTGATTTGCTGTCTACTGTCGTGAACTGAGCGGATTAGCCGCCCACGGTAATCTGCTTTTCTGGTAAACCAATCGCATAGATGAAAGTCGACTCATTTTTATCGTTCTCTCTCTCTCTCGCTCTTTCGCCGTGCAGGTCCATGCACGCATGTCCTGTGTCATCGCGATTAAACAACCCGGATCATTGTGTGTGTTTCATTCTCCCATCCCGTCGCAACCTCATCTTGGTTCGTCCCCAGTGCAATTCGTAAACTTACCACATCACCATCGTTGTCTCTGTCGTCGCGGTCGTCAACATCGTCTCGCCGATCGAACCACGATCGGCCCAAAAACGGGTCCCCCCCACACACGGACACGCACGCACGCAATCATTCGGAGCGAACTGAAATCGGCGGACTTTGTGCATTTCGGAACTGCTGGAGCCATGTACCGGTTTCTGATTCACCATTTGTTCCCGTTTTCGCGTAAGTCAACTCTGTATGCTGGCTCTAGGTTCCAAAACATGTATTCAAAGAAAATTCTAGAATTTGATAACCCATTGTTGTGACGTTCATTCAAAGTTTTAAACCGGTATACCTCCAACTTGGGGATTGGACTGAAAAACCGTACAGATAATTGTATTGTATTGTATTGTGTTGAAGATTTAGCGAATGATATACAAGCAGACCACCGTTACAATTTTGGTAAAAAGAGATGAAAAAGTGGGACGTGAAAGGTACACAAATAGGAATTAATTACTAAATGCAGTAGAATACTCAGAACGAACACTTTCCTTGTCGGTCAGTAACCGGGCAAGATAAGGCACCAAGGAGTTTCTGTATGCAGATGGGCGAGACGGGATAAGTTTGTACCGAGAACGGTTGACGGGGTTGGATTTGCATGCAGACAAGTCAGTGTGTAGAGGATGGGTGCAATCAGATAGGATATTGTCAGCAAAATTCAAGCACACTCATCAATATGGGCATTACACATATTGCCAATCAGAACAGTTAAAGGAACTTGGGAGACATAGCCGATCATTGAGAGGCCACGCCTCGGCAACTTGAAATCAGCCTTCAGCAAACCAGGGAAAATTACAGGGGAGCAGTAAAGAGGTATAGGGAGGACATTGTTTAACGAAAGCTCCTATCACCGACAAATTAGAACAGAAAGGGCGTAGTTTTCTTATCTGAAAACAGTGAACTTTCAACTTGGCAACAATACTTTGGGTATGTAAGGACCAGTGAAGGTTACCTTCAAGTGTGACACCTAAGTACTTCACATGGCTGATCCTGCTCATCGGCTTTCCATGAAGCTGTAGATTGTCGGAGGGAGATGGGGTACGGTTTAGAGTGAAAATACATTCAAGGCATTTTTGAGGATTAAGATTAAGACCGAAAGAAGAAGTGGAATATGAAATGAGGTGGGATAGGTTTGTATTATATTCAACCAGTTCTGATTGGTTAGATAAGGAAACAGACATGGTGATATCATCAGCATACTTAAAATGTCGAACCGGGGGAGTAACAGGTAAGTCACTGATATAAATCGAAAAAAGATATATATATATATATATTCTCTCCTCTGACCTCTTGCCTCACACTCGCCTGAGCTGAATTCGATTGAATGCGTACGGAGTGAGGATAAAGGGGGAACGAGACAGAGAATGCATGGGTAATAGGATGTGATACGTGCAGACGATATCTCGGGATGACATGATTCTAAAGTAAACGTATAAAAATACCAGTAGGACCATGTGATAATCGGATTAGTATTGAATGTATGAATACGAGAACTTGTACCGTAATACTCAGAACTGTGGACATCAATGAAATACACGGAAAATTGGTGGCAGCAAGTGCCAATGTTTATTCACAGAAATAGAGCATGTTTTATAGAAAGAAAAAGGCCATATCATTGGTTGCAGGACCATCGTTCAATCACGTAGCCCCTTGCGCTGACGCATCGCATGTACTAACTCTGATATACTGTTCGCCCGGTGTACCATTGGTCCAGCTTCTTGATCTTTGATTAGATGACATGAAGCTGTACCTGGTCGTACTTGGAATGCGGTCACGTATATCTGGGTCACCACGGACCATTTTAAACCGCAACCTGTTGCGAAAATTCAGCGAGGCACGCAATCTATTCAGAATTTTCTTATCCTGTTTGAATTTCGTATGGTTTTAACACAACGGGCTGGAATCCGGCGTTTCCACCCGGAATATTGCTGTTTATCCAATTGTATCCATTTATTATTATACCGGTATCTCCTGCCCTCTACCGTCCGTACTGAAGACCAAATTAAGGTTCTCGAGCACATTATTTGATTATCTCTCAGGTTGTTCTCTATCCGAACCATTCATTCACTTAAATTTCTTGTGTCAACAAAATTGTGCACAGTATTATATGACATTTATACCGATACACCGTTGATTAACCGATTGGGATGCACTCACATGTTTCCTTTCTGATCAAATTGAGTTTCATTATATTTATCACCTATATTAATGCTTTAGGTATGGACAATAATATATCTCATGTCTACCTCGATCTACGTAGTTTCTTTGAGTGTGAATTAAACGTGCCTGACCTTGGTTGCCAAGATTAAATAATCTTAACATGAAATTCGCAAAGGTTATCAAGTATGAAAACGCAATATATTCTAGCAGGAACGACTCAAGATTTATCCCAAGTTATTTCCATAAACCATAGTCATCTCGGTTATTTGTTGTGAGGCATTATTTTATCCAATGTATAATCCTATATAGCAAGTCTATTGGATAAACAAGTGACATTCTTTCACAACCCGGAGAAATTGCATCAAATAAAGTTTCATAATAATAATAATAATAATTTGTTTTTTGATAGCTAACTCACTTAATTCGAGAAATAAAGTTTTCATCGAAGTCAACAGTTTTGAACGTTCGTATTGTTGTCACCATGATGAGGCAAGCTGCGCTCGAAACCAAAAGTTCTCGTTAAGAGAGACGAAACAGAATTGCAAGAACTTACAAGCTTGGATTTTCCCTATCGAATCTTGCTCAATGCTTTCACGTTAACAAAAGCGATACGTGATGGAGCACAAAATAGAAAATGACTTCATAACAAAGTTGGTGGATTCCATGCCGAAGAGACTCGAAAAAGTCTTAAAGAACAAGGGCAGACCAATCGACTACTAGTGTACACAAACTTTACATCTTACTTATTATCAATGTTAATTTGTTATTAATGAAAACTGCTCCATTCTCTTTAGTTACCTCTTAATTCACCATGGTCTAGGTCAACCATTACTGACAAAATAGGGGAGTATCCGCTACATGCTGAACCATTCCATCTGCTGAGTATGAACGAATCAGGAAAATCACGTTTATAAAGACTCATCAAGGCTTGCCTATTATTATTTGGAAAAGAAATTTACTTCATTATAAATACTGTTGCCTATATGAACCCACAAATTTTTCACAAGAACCCGTTGCTTCAGTTTCAATTAAACCTGTAGTTTATTTGCAAAGATCACTTGATCAAACGTGAATTATCAATCACATTATGAAGTTGGAATTCATCCCAAACCGGGAATTAGACCCTTAACTGATTACTTTTCCCTACAATTCGAGGCTGATTGTGGTATTCTCCACAGCACACACACCCCAGATTCGTCACCTTGGTTACGTGAATCGATTCTCGGACTAGTGTCCGAAATTGACCAATCACACTCCAGTCCAAATCACGTTTTTGCACTATTGACCATAGATGATTATTATTATTCGGTGCTATCTGACATGCATTCGTTTTGTGGGAACTGGCACATGACAGGCATGGATCACACACACACACACACACACACACACACACACACACACACACACACNACACACAAGTCCCGTCCAGTTTTGTCTTGTATACATATATATCCGGTGCGTTCTGAACGTGCCAATCGATTATGCCCACCCTAAGACGTAAACGTTTGAGTAATCGGTACAGTTTGGCTGAAGTGGCTCAAATTGTTTCCATACAGCAACAACAAGAACACCGAGCTCAGGCGCGGTCTCACAACGCATTGCCTGTTGATGGAGTAACAGTACCCCAGTTGATCGTACCGCAACCCCACCGGCACCAACTCCAGGCGATTGAACCGAATCATTTTGGCCCTGCGACGCCGGAACAACCGGTCAACTCATTCAGCATGAATATGAGACAGAAAAGAGCGAGCGTGCGACGCTCCATCAAAATGTCCCCGTCACCCCATGTGAATCGTCTAAGCTACCGGTCCAAAGGACCGGATATTCATCATCAGTTAAAACAAAGTATGGGTGATCTCATTCATGATGTCGAACATGATCTTCAATCCCCGTACGATCAACGTACCGCGGTTATCGATCTGGGCGGATTGGAGTTGCCCATGGAAGAGGGTGAATTGAATCGGGCTGAACGACTCTACTTACATTGTGCCGAACAGGGTGATTTGAGCACACTCAAAGAATTGATCGATCGAGCGGATGAGCTCAAACTGAATTTCAATTGTATGGACGCTTTGGGTCGAGATGCATTGCGTATTGTGATTGAGAATGAACATTTGGAAGCGTTGGAATTGTTGGTGACTGTGCCACAAATTGAACTGGGCGATTCTCTTCTGCACGCAATCAATGAGGACAATGTGACCGCGGTCGAGGTGATTCTACACGCTCAAGCGGAACGTTCCAGTCGAAAAAATCTCAAGGTCAGTCTGATTCACTACAGTTTTCGTAGCTCGTATTTTTCTGCTTCGTTCCTTTTCGCAGTTCAGATATCTGTTTGCAAATTTCATATCACCGGTTGCTATGATGCCCTTAGTTTTCAGAGATATTGATTAAACCACACTCTCGCCCGTCATTGTATAGGTTAAATCGTGCTGTTTGTACTAATCTCTGTCCGCTTTTGTGTGATAATTGTCATTGTTCATGAATATGGTGAAAACCAGGTGAACAGTTTTGTCGGGCGTAAAACAGAATTCTGTGGAAACAAAGTGTAGGGTGAAGAGAGAACTTAACACACAGCAAAGCCCAGCACAATACAGCATAATTCATTTCCACGAAAATTTCGCCGTTTTCCTTCACCTGGATACCAGAATGGAAAAATATACTGAAAACTCACAAGTCACAGTTACCGTGTTCATGTAACTGCAACATGTTTGCTTTCAAAGTCAAAGTCAAAGTTTTATTATGGGAATAGCTTACAAGCTGGTGCTTCTCTTGTCCCTTAGGATGTTTACATAGATTAATCGTTACACATCAAAAAAGGAGTCACATAGGGATCCGGGTAGGAGATAAAGAATGTAGGCTACAGTGAATTTCCGTTTACCTTTAGTGTACGAATGTGAGGTGTGCCAAGATTTTGTCGAGTCTCTGCTTGAAAGATTCAATAGTGGGTGCACAAACGACATGAGATGGAAGGGCGTTCCGAGATCTGCATACTCTGACTGCAAAAGACTGGCGCCAGCAATCCAGTCGAGACTTTGTAATCAGTAATTTGAAACGGTGTCCCCTTAGGTGTACATT